TCAGAGGAAAATTAACAGGAGATAACTGATAACTGACATCCATGAAACATGGCACGTGGAACTAGAACAGTCTACCCCAGTGAGCGAAATAAAGGGTTCAGTTCGAAATTTCAACCAACTGAAGAAGGCCGGAGCGTACAACGGCCGAAACGTTGTGATAAATATGGCGACAAAGATGAGGACAATAGTCTGAATAATGAAAATAATGAACTATAATCTGGAAAAATTTAAATGCAATGTCGATCAATATCTATTGTCCTCCTGTGATTACTCTTTCCTCTTCCCGTGCCTTATTAATGTTTCTGTTCCTAATTCTTCCACACCCTGTAACCCTTTGTGCCTTAGTGACTTTACTGCCTTGCATGGGGTGATACCAATTTAAAAAAAAAAAAAAAAACTTAAATTCTTCTATGTGCCATATCTCTTCGAGCAATCATGGCTCTCCATAATTTCCTGTCTTTTGTAGCACTTAGTAAAGCTTATATTTTTTACTATCTCTGCTAATTCTTCTTATGTCAACCATTTACATAATTTACGTAGGTTATTCACTGCTTTCCTCTGTCCCTCTTACCTTCCATATGTCCTGTGAGTGTCAAATATTCTAAGCCTTCTTTTCTCATTATGTGCACTAGAAATTCTGTCTTTTTCTGATTGTAAGTATTGCTAAATCAAAACAATAGGCAAGCTAATAAAATCAATAGATGATGGACTGATGAAGGTTATGTCAAGAAGCTCACATTAGCATGAAAAATAATAAAATAATATATTATCCAGGATTATGAAAGATTTATTTATAAATAAATATGTGTTGCACTTAGTGTGTTGACACAATAAAATCTGGCTTTCCGAAAACAAGTTATTATCATTGAATATTACGGTCACATCTGGTCTGATGTTACATTTATGTATTTAGAGTTTCTTGAAAAAAATACAAAGAATATGCAATATTATTAGTCCTGACCATACATCTCAGATTCAGTCACTTCCCCACCTCCGTAATATAATTTCCCAGTGCCTCTTCTATAAAATTTTTCACCGTAATTATTCTGATGAGCTTTCCTCTTTGGTACATCGACTTTACGAATTTAAGTGTAGTACTAGATTGGCAGCTAGGTCTCATCATTGTTCAGTTGAAATGGTTAGATGAAACCGTAAATAGAAGGTGACATTAAAAGTTAATCTTCAGTTTTAAGTTTTTGGCATCTGATGTATCTAGATATGAAGTGAATTAATTTCAGATTCTTCCATTGTAAATTGACATCCAGAACCCTACAACCTATCTCCTTTCCTAACAAAATTAGGTCTGCTGCTAAGAAAGTCGATCCATTGTGTTGCGCTAGACAATTTTTCTCGCTTGGATACATCATACATATTTATAAGTCTGCCATTCATCCATGCTTTGAATATTGCTGCCACATATGGTCTGGTGCTTCTATATATTTAGAGATCCTTGATAAAATCCAAAGAATCGGCAATGTCATTGGTCCTGAGCTAGCATCTCAGCTTCAGTCACTTTTCCTCTACTGAAATGCAACTTCCCTGTGTCTTTTCTGTAAATACATTCATGATATTTTTCTGATGAGCTTTCCTCTTTGAACATGACATCTGTCCATCTTTACGGCAGTGAATGTTGAACAATTTCCTCAAAGATGAAGAAGAGACTCGAGGCGACGGAGATGTGGTTCTACAGAAGGATGCTAAGGATATCATGGACCGAGCGTGTGAGCAACAATGAGGTCTTAGAGAGGATGCAAAGAAGGGGGAGGCTTATACTTAACATCAGAAAGAGGCAGCTGAAGTCTCTGGAACACATAATGAGGAAGGAGGGCCTGGAGAATCTGATACTCACGGGTCGAATAGAGGGAAAGATAGACAAGGGAAAACAACGCATGACATACCTAGTGGCCTTAAGCAAGTGGATGACAGAACGTGGTCTGGGGGAGGTGGCAGAGAGAAGGAACTTGTTGACTACAAGAGATAGAGGGCGATGGAGATCCATGATCGCCTACGTCCTGAAAGGACACGGCACATAGAAAGAAAGAAAACTAGATTGTTAACTTGATTTCATCATATTATTTTTGAAATTGCTAGATGTAACCGTAAGTTCTATATTAACATTTTCTTCTTTCGCGTTTCTAGCTCTAGAACTTTCATTTGGCCTCTTGCTTAAACAGTCAAACAAATGTCAGATCATTATCGTTTGTCTAAATTTTCCACACCCAGTAACCCCTTGGATTTATTCCTTTTATTCTCTCGCTCCTTAATAGTGTTTTTCTTTTTCTCATTTGAGTTTTAGTTGCCTTATTGCCTTGCTTGGGGTGAAATGATAAATAAAAAAAAAAAAAAAAAACGGAAAAAGAAACGAAAAAAAAAATTCAACAGGAGATATATTACTAGATAAAAGTCATACAAAATATTGTTCCCATGAATATGTCCTGAATATTTTACTAACCTGTTGTTTAATAACAATTTTATACTGTCTTCCGTAACAAAAGCTTACATAATGCATAACGGAATAACGTACACGCTGTAAAGCAAGGACAAGCAACCTTACCTCGTAAGGTATTATTTGTGAGTTAATTTTGAATTCTAAGCAATGCTTTACAAATATAATCTCTTTCTCACAGACGCAACGTTACAAGCCTATCGGTACTCTATCTCTATTTCCATGGCAAATGTTCAGGTCTTTCGTTCCATCGTTTCAGGCCTTTATTTCTAGGAGATGCCATGCCAACTTCTCGGGTCGAATCAATATCGTTTCCTCCACATACGTTTTTGCAAGGAGAATATCCCACTCAGGCTCCAGCGGATACTTCCTTGAACCCAATAACCTTAACCACTTCAAATCAAGAATCAATCCTCATCTTTCCTCACTAAACATCGCCATCTTGATTTCCTACCAACATAAAAGGTTAGGAAGGAAACCTCCATCAATAATGGAAAGAGTGATAACAGCTACTGGGTATGAGAAGAGAAAATAATGATATAATTAAGATGTTGACATTCCACACTACTTCAAATAAAAGGTTAGGAAGGAAACCTCCAGCAATAATGGAAAGAGTGATAACAGCTACTGGGTATGAGAAGAGAAAATAATGATATAATTAAGATGTTGACATTCCACACTACTTCAAATAAAAGGTTAGGAAGGAAACCCCTAACAATAATGGAAAGAGTCATAACAGCTACTGGGCTTGAGAAGAGAAAATAATGACATAATCAAGATGTTGATATTCCACACTACTTCAAATAAAAGGTTAGGGCTTGAGGAAAATAATGACTCCCATCAAATCCTTAGGAAACGGAACGAGTGATAACAGCTACTGTGCTTGAGAAGAGAAAATAATGACATAATCAAGATGTTGATATTCCACACTACTTCAAATAAAAGGTTAGGAAGGAAACTCCCATCAATACTGGAAAGAGTGATAACAGTTACTGGGCTTGAGAAGAGAAAATAATGACATAATCAAGATGTTGATATTCCACACTACTTCAAATAAAAGGTTAGGAAGGAAACTCCCATCAATACTGGAAAGAGCTATAACAGCGTCTGGACTAGATAAACATATTTTGCTGAAAAAACTCTTCTAAGAGAATGCTTTTATAAATTTCAGCCGACAGATACACTAGCTACCCGATCACTGAATGTCGAATGTTTCCTTCTAAGGAAACAGTTAATATTACCATTTCTTTAATTCCTATCACACACACCTAATTCAGAATTACCATTTCGACTCTAACCATCTAACCTGAGTGACTCTCGAGCCTTATATTAGGTGAATTGTAGACTAGGGTGTGGCAGAAATACCTCCGATATATACATCCCAGTAACACCTCCCACAAAATGGCAAGACATTAGCTAGATGAAGACACATTTGCCGCTAATGTCTTACCATTATGTGGGCGGGATTTCTGTTGTAACCTATATTTATAGAAAATTACCAGCCTAACACAAAACTATCGCTATTTCCATGGCAGATGTTCAGATGAGCTTTAGTTTCTACGAGTTAAGCGCTTTACAGATAGAACACGCCGTACCACTTCCATGGAATTGAATCATGTTCTCCACGTCCCAAATATAATGTTTTTGATGAGATTTTTTACGGCTTATCAACCCTTTGTTGGTTATTTAAAGCCAACGTATATTTTGGATTGTAAATTTTTTTTTAATATTCTATTAACAATTTTTCGGAGATAGCAACGATTTTTCCACATACAAGTCCTACTATTTAACCCATAGCTGAGAAGAGAAGAGATGGATTCATACCTTTCTTAAGTGAATGTAACAAATCCGACTGGAATTTGAACTCCGATCTCTGATTTCTCATTCCGAGCCAATATCCATTACACCAGCCGCACATCCGTTTCAAACGTAAGAAAAAATGTTCCACCCAGAGAGTTTTTTTTTTACCAAAGAATTGTCAATTTCAGGAACCAGACTTCTACATGGTAGCTTCCTTGATCACTCCAGTCTTGACTTGTCCAAACAAAGAGTCAATTGTTATCTGGCTTCCTCATAATCTTCACATTCCTATCATCATCTCTTCAATTCGCATCACACGCCTATTTTAACATGACCATTTTGAGTGTAACCCTCTACCTTGATTGATTCTCGAGCCTTATATTTGGTTAATTTTTAGTCAAAAATAAATCTACTGATGACTCCACTCTACCACTTGAAGCATAAGTTATCTTTTGTTCTTAGATTCCTGTGAGGAAACTTCTCCGAACACTTCCATGTTTACCCCTTCAAGTTATGGGTCAGTCATCATTTTTCCTTCTTTCATTTCTTATTACCCTCTCTTCTCTTCATGTCACACATTTTATTATTTCAGTATTACTATTCTGATTGTAACTCTCTACACTGAGTGGCTCGCCGGTATCTATTGAGTGAAATTTAGTATTAAAAATGTTTGCTAATGATTTTACTCCATCACTTAGGGCTTAAGTGTTGTTATCTTGTGTTTCTAATAGTACAACGGGACTTAATGCCACATCACGTTGAAACACCGGCTCTCGTACGAACACCCAAGTTAAGCGGCGTCGAGCCTGGTCAGTACCTAGATGAGTGATTGCTTGGGAATACCAAGTGCTGTGAGCTTGGATGTGCAAGTGGAGTAATCGATAATGTCACGGAATTATTAATCGGAGAGCCGAGTTCGAATTCAGGTTGGGTTCTTTGTACTCACTTAGGCGTAAATATACTTTGAAAAAGGTAAGAACCCACATCTTCTTCTCTAGATATAGGTTAATTAGTAACCATTATTATCTCCAAACAAAAAAGATTCTTAAAATCTAAAAATATTTTCTGGCTTCAAATAATCTGCAAAGGGTTGATAAACCGTAAAAAACGAATCAAGCAATCACAGACACCTATATCGTTGCTTCTCGGAAAATTTGATTTGTTCAAGTTGAGGTTCAGTTGCCATATTTCTTCCTTGTCATAATAATTTTTATTTTCTTCCACCTTCTACTCCATTCATATCACAGGCATAATATATTTTTTATGTTCTCATTAAATTATATTTTCTCCTCATCCTTATAATATTCACTTTTTACTACATTCACTTACCTTGATATCACACAAATAATATACTTTTTTTTATATTCAAGTTAATATTCGATTGACATAATTTCTCCTTATCATAATAATCTTCACTTGATACCACATTCTCTTTCCTTAATATCACATACATATTTCTTTAACGTTCAAGATAAGGTTCAACTGTCATATTTTCTCTTTATCCTAATAATCTTCACTTTATAACACCGTCTCTTCTCTTCATATCAAACACATAACATTATTCTTTTATGTTAAAGTTAATGTTCAATTGTCATAATTTATCCTTATCCTAATAATTTCTCTTTAACCTAATAATTCTCCTAATAATCTTCACTTTCTACCACCATCTTTAACCTTCATATCACACATATATTCATATTCTCTCCTCATCATCACAGTATTCAATTCCTCCCACCTTCCCCTTCGTACATAGCAAACACATAATATACTTCTTTTATGTTTAATTCCCATATTTTTCCCTTATACTAATAATATTTACTTTCTGCCATATTCTTTTCCCTGCATATCTCAAACAAAATGTACTCCTATTATGTTTAACATGATGTTCAATCTCCATATTTTCCCCTTATCCTAACAATATTCACTTTCTGTCATGTTTTCCTCCCTTCATCCCTCACACATAATAAACTTCTATTATGTTCAAGACAATGTTCAATTTACATATTTTCCCCTTATCCTAATAATATTCACTTTTTATCACGTTTTTCTCCCTTCATACCTCACACATAATAAACTTCTATTATGTTCAAGATAATGTTTAATTTCCATATTTTTCCTTTATCCTAATAATATTCTCTTTTTATCACGTTTTTCTCACTTCATACCTCACACATAATAAACTTACATTATGGTCAAGATAATGTTCAATTTCTATATTTTCCCCTTATTCTAATAATATTCACTTTCTACCACCTTTTTCTTTTCCTTCATATCACATAGTGCATTCAGCTTTAAAATTTCTGTTGATCCGTTCCCTTTACTTTGAGTCATTTCTGATCTTAATATTCAGTATAAAAAGGCTGGATTGGGGGCATATTTTGTAAGGGAATGATTTGCAAGCAGTAATTCATCTTCATTGCTCACTCCAAAACTGTCCCCTTGTGTTAGACTCAGTGTAGTTTATTATTATTTACACTGATTAGTTAATACTTACTTCGCTGTTTTATTTGTCTATTTAATCCGGTAATTTGAACCAAAAAGATTAGAAATTGTAAAGTTCTAAATGTCTGGTTTATTGATTGTTAATAAAAAAAAAAAAAATCGTGACTAGCACGAGTGAATGACACATCTACATTCACATAAGCTTATGTTTACCCTCAGCCAATAGATATGCATTCTGCTATTAAGTAGAAAACTTGTCAATATTTTGTAACGTTTTCCAGAATTTGCCTGTCGAAACAATGGTTGTTCTATCAAGCAAATACCAATCGCTGATTGATAATACAATAAATTTCTTATTTCCCACCAGCGTATGTTTTTAGTGTTTAAATCACGGGTGTAAAATATTTCTTTTAGGTGGCTTGTCTCTTCGGAACGTGGAAGAACATGGCCCTCAACTACTACTTTTCCTTTATCGTTCTACGCAGCGTTTTTACTTTATTAATGATTCCCACTCTGAAATCCGTTTCAGTCGCTTGATAGATTACTCGTTGTTTAACTATGCCCTCTTTCCATCAATATGCCCTGTGAGTATCGACTTCTCCAAGTCACACTTTCCTCGTTATGTGTCTTCGAAATTTCAACTGTATTTTATTGATTCTAAGTAGGTATGTAAAAAAAGTACATATCTACTTAGAATCAGGAAGATACAGGTGAAATACCGTTTCTTTTTTTTTCTTAAAACTTCCTCATTACTCATATACGTTGTCCATGGTATTCTCACTATCCTTCTGTAGAACTGTTATGGTTCAGGTTAGGACCAAGGAAGAACAACACGAACACAAGAGTAGAAATAACGAAGGTATATTACACGAAATAATAATACAAGATGTGGAAGGTGTTAGTATGACTGTCAGTCTGGTTTGGAGTGAACTACTATCGGCTCGACTCGATTCGTCCCTCTCTCTTGAGAGGCGTATTATACATAGTGTTAGGAAGAGTTCATTCTGTAGTTATAGGTAAGGACCCTGTTACTTGAAGTATCTTCTTCATCTGAGGAAAATATCCAGAATTTAGTGGCGCACAGGAGGATTAAGATACATAGCAGTTCAGCACTTTCTTCATTATTTCTAACGAAATTTTCTTTTTTCTTAATACATTGCTTGGATTTTGAAAGACATATTTTGCTATTTCGATCCGGTTTCGGATTTCCTTCGTCTGTTATAACATTTTACACTTACTCGAAAGAACTATAACATCTAATAAAGAGTAAGGGAAATAAGGAGAAAAAATACAAGGCAAAAATGAATTATAATTCACAATGCTTTCTCAAAGAAAGTCCGTGATTATTACAGCTAAAATCTTTTTCTTCGTCTTTGTGCCATGTCCTTTTAGATCATTGGCGACCATGGCTCTCCACAATTTCCTGTCTTTTGTAGCTCCTAATAATTTTTATCTTTTTAACATCTCTCATAAACTCTGCTCCACCATCAATTCAAGTTTGTCAGATAGATCATGCGTTGTTTCCCTGTCTCTCTTATCTTCAACTTGTCCTGCGAGTATCACATTTTCCAAGTCCTCTTTCCTCAATATGTACCACCCAAAATTTAATTTGTTAAGTTTAAGAATCTTTTTTTTACCATTGTCTCTCGAATTTGGTCGAGTCCTGGGCTAGACGATAAACTAAATCCAACAGCAAGGCCTCTGATCAGGAGGTTTTCAGGAGCGTGGAACTACGTCTTAATTGCTGGTGTTCCCAGGTCCGCCCTGACCCGGAGTGGTAGCACCTGTTAGGGTCCCAGCTATGGGCAAATAGTTAACCCTAAAACTGGGGTTAAAACACTATGGAAGTGTAAAAATAGGTTTTAGTACCGGCAATGAATTTTTGAAAAAAAAATATTACCTGCAATACATTATTACCAGTAATACATTTTTAAAAAAAATATTACCAGCAATACATCTTTGGAAAAAAATATATATATTACCAGCAATAAAAGTCTTGTCGTCATTAAATAATCCACTGAGGTTGATATGCCGTTAAACAAACCAAACCAAAACAAACTGAACTTCGTCGTTGCTTATATGTTCGACCCCATGGTATTCTCAGAATCTTTCTGTAGAAACACATTTCGGGAAAATTTGGTTAGAAACAATGAAAAAAAATGGTCTGAAGTTTTATGCAATATCAATCCTTCTATATTAACAGAAATAAGACGAAAGAAATATTATTGCGAAATTAATAATAATGAAAAATACTTCATCTAAAAAATTCATGTCTGCTTTTCATTGTAACGAAAATATCTAGCATTCACCGGTATATAGGTAAATTAATATTTCATAGCAGTTCAGCACACTTTTCTACGTTTTGTCGGAGTTAGCTCCTCCTCACATCCTTAACCCTTCACCAGGGGTCTCTCTCCCCTGGCTATAAATACTGGCTGACCTTTCGCCTCGATCTCTTTTTTCCTCAGGCTTCAGCTTTATACCACCTCGCAGATGTGAGCTCTCACAGATACAGCGTTTCCCAAATTCTGGGAACACGCTAAGAACAATACACGTACGTACGAACACTCACCACAACACACACACACACACACACACACACACACACACACACACACACACACACACACACACACACATAATATTCACCACACGCACTCAATGTAACTGTCCATGTACTTGTAACTTGTACTTGTTATTAATACATATATTTGTTTACATATATTTATTGGTCTTCTTTCTTTTCTTTGTCTTCTTTGGACTAAATTAAAGTCCAACTTTCTCATGTAGTTAGACCGGCTAGCAGGAAATTCTACTCACATATGTTCTTCTACAATACATACTCATCACCCCCACGGTCCCCAACAGTTTCTAACGGATATTTTTCTGTATTTTGATACACTCTTTAGCTTTTGGAAAGAGCATCATTTGCTATTCCAATACGCCTTCGGATATTTGTGTCACATTTTCCGACATCTGTTATAAAATTTCCCAGACAGTGAAATTCCTTGATTATATTTATTTCATTGATTTATAATACAGTTCTTTTTTATTATCCGCACCTGAATTTTTCAGACTTCGATCAACTGGACGTGAAATGAAGAGAAAATTGAAATCCTCCTAAATTTTATCAATTATCTGAATTAAATACATTCTAATATTACATCTCAAACAAGATGCTTTGAGAATTTAGAAAATTGTTGTATTAAGAGCCAGTTACTGTCATGAATGTATTATTGCAGTGACGTATACTAGTTGAATATTGAATACTACTATCACGATTGACTCGGTCGAGTTAAGTCTTGTGTCTTGCCAGACCCCACATCACAACAAAAACAATATACAACGTTTGATAAAAACTCTGATAAAATCAGTTCAATTCTTTAAGTTCCTTGGAAAGTGTCGAAGAAGAT